CTAGCAGATAACGGTATGCAGTGTAGGTCTACCGAGTGCCCAAAGGCGAATGCACCTGAGGTATAAGGTTACCTTCAGATCTAAACCAGCGTGTTACTGTAGCCTCACACCACCTGATGTATTCATCAACCACATCCAATACATATTTATTTCCTTTATGAGAGGACGGTGAAGGCGCCAAAATGTTAACCCCTGCAAGCCTGTCAACATAGGTACCAGTGGTACACGGGCTATTCGGCTCAGTGGCTTGGTTCTCACACAAGTGTCCAAAACTTGACTGGACTGTTGAACTTGTTAGCGAGTCAAGAAATCACTATAACGACCGACTCAAAGCCGCCTCCATTATGCGTTATCCAGCACGGCTAAGTTCCCTATGAACTTTAGAGATGATGTACGAAACTTAGATTTAGGAACAATGAGTCAGGGAAGTTTCTTGGGCTTAACTTGGTGCAAAAGATCACCACTTATCCAGAAGTGCCTGCACTTGGTGCAGATACAACTGGTCAACAACGTAACATCCTTCGACCCCTGACCGGATGTTTTGTCGCTACCACACTGTTGGCGGCCACAGACTATTTGGAGGTCCGGGTACACTGCCTGTAGAGTGCTCAACTCTACTTTTACGTTAGCAGCTAGCAAAGCACTAACTACTTCACTGTCGGGTGGGATGTGGGACGGTTCGTCAGCATGTAGATGATGCTTTCCTTTTGCGATATTCATAGGTGAAACCAAAATCATGTACTCGTTCTTGAAAGTATTCAGCTTAACCATGAGCATTGAATTTTATTCTACGTCATTCATACATGGTCCAGCTGTTTGAATGCCACCGTTTCACTACAGGTAGGACTTTGCTTTGGCTTAACGCCTTAAATGGATGCGCTGAGGTAAAAACTGCGAGTAAAATTTCGATACCGATCTCCAAATTCACTGATAACTCTCGTCATGCAAATCTCCCAACGGATAGCCGCAATCTTTGGATATTACATGGCTGTTATACAACCAGCCACTGATGTTATTAAGCTTTTCAACTTTTCCATCGTTGTGGTAGCTTTCAATGGCTATTGACTTTCCCGTCATACTGAACGATCACTTCGGAACGTTTTACGACTCAGCGAATTTCGAGGCACCGTCTCTTTCGGTTGGGAACGCCTCTCTCGTTTGGTGGCTTCCTGCATGTTGCACTTGCTGCAGCTCCCTAGGTTCCGTGAATTTTCCTAATTTCTGCATATCATATTATAAGATTTTGGACTATGATATCGGTTTTGGTATCTTTGTGTCTGACACGTTAGATTCATGAGGTGAATGTAAAACTATTTGTTGCACTATGAATGTTTTTACGATGGATGAAATTATTCATGGTCGTCTTGATACTCTCCCACTCTGTGCCTTTCTACTCTGCAGGTCATCATGAATAATAACAAACAAGTCGTTCACGTCCGAAAAATTTCTGTCTTCCTCTCGAAATGTTGGTATCTTACGGCCCTGCGGTCGAATGCTACTTTGAAATAGCTTTAAACGTTCGGCCAGTTTTCATTTTTATGCCTTAACCACAGAACTTACTACTGCACTCTCGCTGATGTAAGTAATTTGGGGCCTTGTTGAATAGCGTGTCGATAAAGGCCGGCTTTAATAACACTGATCTTGAATCATTTAAAATGTCGCCGTGCGATATGAGTAGTTATTGGCCGACCTCGGGGGAGATGTTCCAGCGGAGTCAGTCAGTTATAGTTTGCAGCTCATCATCATCAGCTCATCTATCTCGACCGAAAGCTGTTCGTGTGACATTAGTATCACCAAAGGTGGTGATCCCAGGAAACGTGGCCTGTCCTCAGAAGGCGACAATGGTTGGTCGTCTGAAGGCTCCTTGCGTCATTCATTACTAATGGCCACTTTATACAGCCACACAGGTTATCAAAACTAACTGTATCATGGTACACTCAATCAGACACTATGAGAGCCACAGACGGCGTATACTAAGGAGAACAGATCGAAACCTCTGTCTGGATGATAAGATCTCATTGAACTCCGGCTCATGAGGGCTGGTTCGACTTCTCATGTGAGTGCAGCAGTCAGCGAGCCTACCTGACTCACTACCGAACCAGAACCGAGTCACTGGTGATGTCCAGGAGCAATGATTCTCCTTCGAAGGATGACAGGCTCGGCCTGGATATTCCGTAATTCCAACTGAGGTCGTAGAGAAACATCCACATCCACATCTCATCGTAATCTTCATCTAACAAGACTGTCATTGTGATACTCTGGGTTTGCTGAGTATTCTTCTGCGAAAAAGTCGGCCCTGGTAATTTCACTTGAGGAGTTGGAGACTACCTTAAGCTCGTTTACAAGAAAGCTGAGCGGAAATGAGAGAATGAACATGCCTGACAGACACCACCTGACACAAACAACCCGCCCGAGATCTCATCACAGTTTCTAACACCATCTTTGGTATTCCGATGCTGAGCCTTTAACGGGATGATGTACTTCCCCGGTAGCTACTCCAGTGATAGGCGCTGCCAAGTACCTTTCGAGTGACTCAGCCTAATGCTATTTTCGCATCAGTAATTACGGCTAGTTTCCGGAACCATTGTGCGGGTGCTCAAGAACCCAACAGAGGGTGAATATTTGTTTCCTGCACCCACAACCAAGTGTAAAGCGTGCCTGATTTTCCCGGAATGCATGTTTCTGAACCTTACTTGGGCTTCTAATAGTTATGGAAGATAATATTATAAATACTATTCCAGTCATACCAATCTTCACTTAGTTAATACTGGGGGATTTCTCTCCTCTCTTTAAGCCCAGGGCGATCAGCTACCGAGTCCACTCAGATGGGGCCACATCAAGTTCAAAAACGCTGACTAACACTTTGGCACCATTTAGAGCAATGTGAATCATAACCCGCTGCCAAATATGGTCTTAGTTCCTCTTTAATTTTATCGAGTTTTGCAAAATTTATGGAATCCATCTCAGTTTCTCACCTAGGATACGATTGGATACCGAGCAAGTGTAATGTGAAAGTAGCCATTTGGGCTTTTCACCACACGCTTGGCCCATCATACTAGTAGTTTCCTCCGTAAGTAAATTGCGTTCCCCCTTTCTGCACTGCGAACTCAATAGTCAGCCACGTCACCTCATTTCCTTTCACAGGTCTCCTCGACCTTCTCTGCCGTCGACCGCTTACAATCAACATTTAACTTTTCAGTCAGTCATTGACTTCAGAATGTAAATCCAATATAACGCCTATATTTTTACTGTAAAGAACGATTTCATAGCATTACTTGACGCGTTTTGCTAAAACCCGTAGTTTCAAGGTATTTTTCAGCATCAGATATAAATAGCCTCTGAATCGGAGGCTGAGATTCACCAGACTCAGCCCTGTATCAACAGCAAAAAAATCCATTAATTTAAGGCCCGCTTCCTCGTTCGCCCCCAGATCGATGTACATGCAAAGCACTTACTTTGGAAGAGCGGCTTCGGCCCACTCTTCAAAAATTTCTCGCAGCCAGTAGCTTTCCATCGCTCAGTCACAGGGGGTGAATTTACTTTAGCGACACCGTTTAATACGTCTGCCATCATTGTTCATATGGTCTACACTACTGTACCCTGAAACACTCTATGCGACAGCTGCGCACCTATAGATATTTGTGGATCAAGTTTGGCTTTTTTCTAGTTTTTAGTATCGATTCCGACCTCCTTTTGGTCCCATATCCGCAGTTTTTGGAGATGGGGGCTACTCTAATCACGTAGTTCAGTCGATCTTCAGCTCTTCTTTTGCGTTTCTCCAATGCAACGAAATGTTTCTTAGCACTGGGACATCTGATACAAGCATGTGGTCGTAACACACAACTTGTGAAGGACGAACCATACCAGCCTGGCTTGGGACTTTTATCTTTTCGTTGGAAAAATAGTGGATCGCTTAGGTTAGCCATCACGTTGTACAGTTGTTCATTATGGTTCAAGCACGAATGAAGACTGAATCATGAGTTCCCAGTCCCATTGTGGAGGACACCCAGTCTCATTTTTCCAAGCACTTTTTATAATGAGAGAACTTTATCGTACATATTCATGTCCTATGAATACGGACTATGTCCAAAATGTTATCTTTTAGGTAATGTCGCTGCACCATGTGACACTTCTGACGAAAACTGAAATGAAATTACGGTGTACCGGAGTACGTGGGTTTTACTCCTATATTATTGAACGAAAGCTGTTCGTGGTCACTGTTTAGTATTAGAAGGGGGGCATGTACGTCCAAAGTGCAATTTTGTTTGATTTGAGCCCAAAATATGCCAGGAAATATTTCTGACTTGGGTTGAGCCACGTGTCACTACAGACACGCAGCACCAGGGCACGCTGATCGGTAGAAAGGAGTAACTTGCAATCAGGTGATGTGACCGACCACATTGTGCCACTTAAATCCCGTTTGTGCTAGGTGAAACGATATTTTACAATGTCTAACAGTGGCTTCTTCCTTATCGATGGCTGATACACCATAATTTGAAGTCATAGGTTGTCAGAAGGACTGTGATAAATAAACTACCGCAATAAATATATGCAACCGTCTAAGGCAACTTAGCAGGCACTGAGCTCGTAGCTTGCAAAATCGAGTTACACAAAAACCACACAAAGTGACAGGAGAATTGCCCTAGAATATGGCACAGGTTTATGTAAACACTGGCAGGGGGGTTGTATCGTGCTGTGGTGTTTCGGTCGTATTATGAATGAGCCAAACCTCTGTGACTACTTGCATGGCTACACCAGCAAGAAGTCATAGATCGTAAAAATGGTCGTGAACATTGCGAAATTTATTATGTATATCCGCGCCGTCCTACCTTAGAGAAAATGCATAATAAGCAATTTAAAGTTATTAGTGGGTTCAAATGAATTTACTGCTGCCAAGTTTAACACACATTGAGCAAAAATAGGTAGTGGTTTCAACTGAGAAGTGCCTACATATTCATTTGATCATAACTCTTTGAAATTAGCTTAGTTTCAATTGTTGAGTATTTTTAGCGCGTCAGTTTGAGTTTATGAGCTACATATTCTATTTCTCTTATAGAGATGACGGATGATCCGCTTGTCCTCGTGTTTAAAGCCTTAGACACAGAAAATAAGGGATATATTACAGTAGAACAGTTTGTTACAACCTTCAAAGAATTCTACAACTCCAGCGGAGCACATGGGGAACGACGATCATCGTTCTCATCCAATGTAACGTCTTATACATGAATAATAAATATGTATTTAGGAAATAATGAAAGTTGTACAGGCTTTAGATCCAGAAAATGATGGAGTTATCCATTTTGAAGACTTTAAGAAGGCTTTCGAGGGGAATATTTCTCGTAGGTGTTCTTCTAAACGAGATAACTTAATCAGTTGATGAGGAACAAAACTCAAAGCATTCGAATAATCTGGCCAGGACTTTAGACGGCCAAAGCACGTCAGTGAGATCAAGTTTTCTTTCAGACGGATTGGAAAATAAGGTATGTTCTGCGTATTTATACTTTACTTCCTGTCTTCGTCTCATGCATTTTTCGTTAGGATATTGGCAAGCTATGGTAATCTTCTCTGTTCATGAAATGAATTGATACAGTTAGCGAAAAATCCTCTGCCACCCTCCTCTATCCATACTGTATTACACTAAAATCTGTATATTTCTGTATAGTTTGCTCCATGGAATAGGATGTATGAATTTTTATGGGTTGTAACCTGCACCTTCTCTTAGTTTAATAAATAAAACCAAGTATATTGGGATCGTCTGAGGTATTGCCGTCGGCCGTTAACTCGTCTGGTCAGCAGGTTCCTAGGCCTACGTCAAAATAATTGTCATAGGTAATTACTAACTAGACAGGTATGTTCGGAATGTGCGAATCTTAGATAACTTTTACTGACCAACTTTAGTGGCTTGTCATTTCAGTTCACATAGGAAAGACTTGACTTGTATTGTGCAACTTGGTAACTAGGTAAAGGTCTACATGCCATTCAGTACACTTTGAAATTTGCGACATGATATTAATATATATGAGTACCAAACTTCAACGGGTAGGGTAAGTTTCCAATTCACTTCGTATAAGTTAAAAGTCAAGTGCTCGGCCTGGTGGTACTTTTCAAAAATCCCTGCATCTTTATAGAATCAACGCTCAACCTTTTTTTAGAAACGGGAAGCATGGGAGGGGGCGGCGCGTTTCAGACTTTGGTGTATGCACGCCGGTCAAGTTTGTGCTCGTAGTGAGATCCTGGCACAAGCATGCTAACTTTCACCTCACTAGTCGAAGGTATAATTCAACAACTCTTAGTCGATGCCTTCGGGGATGCCAAGTGTCTCGGTTTCTTGACTTGCTCTTATTAAGAGATGTTAGATTTCATATGTGTGATTCAGTCATTTTTGTTATTAAGACATGTTCACTTTAATCATTTTCGCACAAAATGATGGACGTAATCCCTTTCATAAGTATCTAATTTATCGTGTATTGGTTGTTTTACCGACTTATCTACTCAGTGTCCGAGTGTCCAGTTACGAGTGCTGAAGTTTCTTTAACTTGTACCAGTCAATGATTTCGGTGAGGTTTCAGAATTTTCATCAGAACCCGAGTGTAGCAGAAGTTGCACACTGTCTCAAGTAAAGACTATGAGACATGTCTGCTGAAATTAGGGTGGTCATTTTACTGTATTCTACATGATCCTCAAGCTAAATAAAGTAGATTGAAGTCAGGAAGAGGTTCAAAGTGTCACAACGAAGATGAAAGATGCTCCATGCACCAATGATTTCCTACTTCTAACTCAGGTAACAACCAAGTTAGAGCCAAACGGCAAAAACACAATTTAGGCCGATATTGGATTTTCTCGTAGAAGGGAAAAATGAAGCAGCTGAAAATATATTTAGTTTGTCGACTATTGGTGGTTATTCATTTTTAAATGACTACCCTTTTGCTTTGCCGTATAATCAGCGAAAATAGCACAAGGTTGCTCAGCAAAATAAAGACGACACACTATTGAGACTTCATTGATCAAGAAATTAGTCTTCTTTCCTTCTCGATAATTCTATAGTTGTAAATTACATCTGGAATGCATGTGGTCAAATACGCGTAAAATCAAGCCTGTCCATCATGGCTGCTCCGCAGGTATACGGTAAGAGAGAAAACGGTATATGCATATATTTATTCATCTTTGGATAAATTGATGCCTTACTTGAGCCCATATTTGTTCCACGCATGTCCAAAGACTATCTAGTACGATTTGCCATGTTAAGAATAGTAGGCTAAGCTGAAAGAAAGCTAAAAGTGTCTGGGTACAGATATGGTACCATTACACGAATCAATGAGTGTAAGCAATGTAGAGTATTGTAGGTTACCTGGATGGGGTTGTCAAGATACTTATAATCGGTGGTTGGAGTTCACGTTTGAGGGCTCAAAGTCGATCACAATGACGGAAATGCACCTACAATTAACCTTTCGCAAAATCGCAAATGTCTCGTGATTCGTTTCTTTTTTCTCTTCCTACTTGTTCATTTTGTTGTCTAGTTTTGTTAATTTCCTGCTTCTGTAATGTTGCAAAATATGTCTCAATTTTGTAAGAGGTTCTACGTCATTGTCTGTCTGTCAAAAGTTTTGTAGAAGATCTCAATGTCTATTCATTGGGGGCTTGTATTTCATGAATTGATTCCTCTTATTCTCAATTTCTAAGAACAAACGTGCGATGGCAATCGCTGTTACATTACGATGTCGTTTCAAGCTTCTTAAAAAAGGTAGCTTTGAATCAGTCAATTTCTCTTGATAAGAGAGGAATAGTGGGTGTTTTTAGCTTGCTTCCCGCCGAATATTTTAAAACTTCTACTTCCCGTTAACTTACGAACTAGCACATATTTGCATTTGATTGGGATGATAAGTAAATGCGGGAATCGAAACAAAGAATCAAATCGGTCCGGCTACTGCCTCTGATAATGGATAAAAGGTTGACATTTTGTGGGACACTTTTATCACTGAATAAGACACTAACCTTTTATAGATGTGTTTAAATTTATCTTCGACGACAGACAGAAATAATCACACATTTTGGACATCGGGTTATTGGTTCTACTTTTTAGATCAGTGTTGCGAATGTTTGCATGTGCCTGTTGTCGACAGAGTCATATTCACTCATAGAACATTTATCAGCACCCAGAAGCTAGGTTACTAGGATGAGTGAGCTTAGAAAATTATCGAGTAAAACTTTCTGTTTACTGGTAAACAAAATTTTTAAATACGCGACAATTTTTATTAGATTAAGAAGTAGAAACTTTTTCAAGTTGCCCCAGCTGAAGTAGATTGCGGTGGATTACACCTCAAGACAGTTGATTATCGAATATTTTGACCATCGAAACATTACTACAATTGTAATTATTGTTGGATGACAAAGTAATGCTATGGGATGCAATAAATACACAAGTTAATATTGCATAATTAGAAAAGTATCCCTTCAATTAGCTTATTAAATTAGTTTTTGAGGTTTCCATTATTATTATTATCCATGTTACTCTCTGTTTTTTACTCTGGGATAACATATGTTTGATACACCTTATCGCATTTCTCCCTGTTTGTTTTAAAATCTACTCATGTAGATGAAATTAAGTCCATAGTTGGAGTGACCCGCTTCCACTGGGCAACTTATTTGAATGCAGTTCATCCATTTCGGTCAGAACAGTCGCCTAGTATCTCATGCCTAAACAAAATGAGTGCGGTTTAACATCTTGCATTTGGACTTCATTACTTAGTTGTATCATTTGTCATTGGTGTTTAAGCTCACACGAATTCATTTTTTTAGCACACCTCAATAGTGTTGGTGCGAGGAAGTTCATAAAACTTAAAAGTCCATATCGATATAAACATGTTGCTTTTAGTTGGGGATTCGCAGTAATGATTAGGAATGGGTTTTGGGTGAGAGACAAAAAATATACCTTCATCTTAGCTGATATAGGACTTCATGACTGTTATTTGTCATTTTATTTTGGGGTAAATATGATCACTAATGATTTGTTCTGAGATTCATTCACACTTATATTTGGAGATTTCTCAGTTTGCATATTATGGAGTTATTATATGGTAGTTTTAGTTGGAGGAATAATCTAGTCACATAGAAATCATAATTGAAATGAATTTACAATAATTTCAGTTCTCGAGAACTGTGCTCAATCGCTTTATTGAGTCTACTTTTTTATTTTGTTCTACTCGATTCGAGTTGCTATCAGAAGACTTGGGTTGTATGGCACCCAGATCAAATTTGATGGTTTGACCATAACTGGGTTCCATTTAGGACGCGGGTCTTGGTTCATTACTATGTTTGGTCCACTACTTGGAGGCTTCTGGTTAGAGACCTGAAATTGATCTTTTCTATTCAGTTTCCAGGCGTTTAATGTTTGGTCTTCGTGTAACAAAAGTTATCGTAATGTAGCCTGATAATTAATTAAAAGAATTATATTTGGGCCTTGAATTACACCTGTTTTGGAGCCACTTTTATTGGATTTTGAGAGCACATTCATGCAGTAGACAATAAGCCACACCTATTGTGTGAGGGCTAGTGATATTACCTGGCTGCCCAAACCTCAAGGTGGGGGGGGGGGAAATAGACAGGCGGAGTCAACATAGAACTTTGCACACAAGTGTAGCGGTTCAAGTTGTCACACTTCGCAGTAGTATACAAAGAACAGATGGATAGGATGAGAGTGATATTAAAGTCGACAAAGTTGTATGAGAGAATAAGGAATTTGAGTATTGCGCTTAGTGGGAATATTCAAGCTTTAGAAGACCAACGAGTGAATACATCTGCTCCACCGCAACCGATTTTCAGCCGTCACCAAGAGTTCTCTACCACTGATTCCTATCATCTCAGTGGAACGGGGTTCAAACCCATGACCCAATGGCTGAGTCGATTGCCTAAACGAATCAGCCACAATTCCACAGTGGTTGAATTCACTTAGTATGAAGATATCTTCTTATATCAGTCAGTTTTTAAAAATCTTAGAGTAAATGTTAGGAACTCAACTGTTTTACTGCTTTGATTGTACAAGGCGTTAATTTTTCCAGTATCTCTCCCTTCCACAAATGAGATTATGCTTATGATCTTGTTGACCGCTAAAACGATGAGTATGAGAATTTTTGAAATGTATGGTATTTGTAGCACTTCCGTGACACTGTCAAAAAGGTCATTAAAGTAATTTGGATAGTCAGATTTTCAGTAAACTGATTCGTCGTACTTAAAATACAGTGCGAATAAATATAATTATAGGTAAATGGAATTTCTAGCAGTAAAAATAATATTAATTATTAGTTAGTAGATTTTTCTGGGATATGGTGTTTTCGAACAATTTATGATCAGCCTAAGTTAGTTTTTTGGTTTCGTTTGATGGCTTTTCTTAACACCATCTATCGTTGCACGTTTCATGATTTAAGTCGGATTATTTGTTAATTGAACCGTAGGAATACTGCTACAGAGCAATGGGGGAAATCCGAAAGTAACATCGTAGCAAATCTATTTCAGGTAATCATGGGATCGTCGGTAAAATCAGTTTGTCTTCCTGTTGCTCGATTCTTTCTAACTTGACAGACATCAAGAGACATCTTAACAAGCTCTTACATGTAATGGAAAGTACTTTTAATCTAATTAGTATAATAGTAATATAACAGTATATTATGATTTAATTATCTTTTTTGAGTGAAAAGAGTTTTATAAGGGTATCATCTTCAGTTATATTATACTTTGGCATTTTCAGACTGATGACAGTGGTGTGCATATGCAGGATCCAACTTTATTCGACATAGACACTGACTCTGCCTTAAGCGGCGATGGACCACATAAGTAAGTTTATTTGATTTTAATGTTTGATTTTCACAACTGAACATTGCTTTCTGCTGTAATTAAAAAAGATCGATTTGGCGTTGTGCACACGTCATATACTTTGGTCGAAAACAACCATAAAGTATATATTTTTTGATGAAAATCACGTTTCTAAATCTGAGGCACTTTTTGTGAGTCCTTAGTTTTTCATGTTGAATTCGATAAATAATCTACTGGAAAAGGACTGTGTTTTTAAGAGATGGCCTTAATTTCTTTGATATTTCTATAGTTCATTTAAAAAAGTAATAATCTTTGCGCATGTAGCATGTAAATTTATTGTGCTAGAACTTTTGATGTTCAAAACCTAAATTGTTATGCATTTAACGCGTTAGTTCTCAAATCTTCTGCTCACTTTCAGATCATAATTTATTAGTAGTGTTTCGTCATATGGCATACCATTTATGCCGCTATGATCCAGTGTTATAGAAATCATAGATATAACCATTTGATCATCAGTTGGTAGCTACTTTCTCAGTTTTTAGCCACAAAGACGTTAAATTGCATTGCTCTTAAACCTTTATCAGCACTCGATTCTCTTATAAACACCATCAACCTTACTTGCACTGTAGGAATTCTTGAAATTTCTCTGTTAATAGTTTTGCGTCTTTAGTCTCTTCCAAATTAGCAGCCGTTAATAACGATTCAAGTTCACGAGATGGTGTAACTGGTCTCATAAAACCATGTTCCAAACTGCTTATCCGAGCCTCAAATATTGACACTTTTCATCAGATCAGATAACGTGTTTCATTAGCTAAAATTCTGACGTATGCTGTGTGTGAGACACTTCTACCAAGGACCCAAATGGGGTTTACGTAACCTCACTTGGTCAATGTGGTGATTTTGCTAAATTTACTCTTTAAGTATCTGGAGACTCCTTGATTAGTTTTCGTTGCCTTGTATGTGTGTTGTAGCGTTGTCTTTGGGCAGAAAACACACTGCTCCTTTAGGTGCCAATCTGCAATCTGTTTGCTGTTTGACTGAATCATAACCTTATGAATCAAAAGGAAAGCGCCATGCGTCATTGTCTTTTGTCATTTTTCAAGTCCAGATCAACTAACAGTTGTGTTCTACCAAAAACTACCCAACCTACTTAGGGTCAAAGGTCCAGGTGTGGTTATCGTAGCGGATGACTTCAATTCACAAGTAGTAGGAAAGGAAGGGGAAACAGATTGGCTTAAACTAAAGAGATATATAAGGATGGTGGTCGAATACTACTGGCTAGACTAAGTGAGGTGTTAGCTTGCGTGTGGGAATGAGATATGATTGCTAATAACTGGTTTCAGTTGTTGATTGTTTTAGGTTTGTGATAATCATAGACGAATCAGTTTGATGAACATCATTTCTAAAATTGTACCATAAGTGAAGCTCGGGAACAAAAATCCTGTAGACTTCGTACATGATCTTGAATGTATCAAACAAGTTTTCATTCTTCACCGTATGCATACTCACATACACCTGACACTAGCTGCGTTTCCTGAACTCAAGGTTGGACTCGACTCCATCGATCAAGAGGTTTTATGATAGCCTCTGATACCAGGTAAGTACTTCACTCTACTGAAGGTTCTGTACTCGATGATAATGATGATGATGATATTCATCAGGGATATCCACTCTTTTTATTTGGCCTTGTCGTATACTTACTTATGGAGCTCTTCCTTTGCTTGTTTGACTTTACATTGGTTGATTTAGTCACTGGGGACTTCCTATTCTTTATTGATACTTATAATCTCTGGTTGTTTGTCATACTGTACCTAATTGATCGGTTTCCACTGGCATCTGGGCTCCTCAAACAGATGGCTCAGTATTACCTCACGTTTCACTATGATGTTATGTACTCAATTGTGACGCAGTGAAATCCAGGATGCGCATTTCGTCCTATTTATGGCTTGTCAGCTGGGGTATCTGGGTCTTAGTGAGTGATAGTGTCGTTCTCATGGAGACGAACCCAGCTTCAAACGCCACTAGACTGCTGAGTTGCGAAAGTCACCTCTTATGGTCATTCGGCTTTAAGCGGATTACGCCACAGTGGAAAGATTTGTAATTGCCTACTAAGGGTTGTGTAAATTTTATTGTAACTGAGTGACCGAGTGCCTTCGCCTGTGGTAGACAATAGACCATGGCTGTTTTCCGATAGCTGGTAGTACTATTTGGTAGTCTGTCATACGATAGGCATGGCTCATTCACCACCTAGCTCACGTAAATACACTCGGCTGGTAATACTACCTGGCTATATGTGTGGCTGTAGTTTATTGGTCTAAGCAGTATGGTTTCACCCACGGACTACCAGTTCGAGCCCTAATTCATATACCAAGGTCTGGGGAGACAGTATTATTAATCTTCACAAAACAGGTATGGCTCATTATCTAGTTTATGGATATGCATGCGGTAACTTTTTTGAATCTCACTACCCAATTCTCAGTAAGTAAACAGGGGTTCAAATTCATGACCCAGAGGGTCAAGTGTACTGGCCAGTAATTTCTTCCGTCGTACTCTATGACTGCAAAATGGTCATTGAAGTTCTAGGGAATGAGAAGGTTCCAATTTTTAACAACCGTTTTCTTGGAGAAACTTCTAGCGCGTTATATTATAATCACTCTAGTGATGTAGCGATTATGTGTAGGCTTTTGACTGAAGAAGGGTTCGATTTGTAAATGTTAAACGAGGCTTCAGTGCATGGAGTCTCTGACTTGGTCTGAGCCTTGTAGGAGTGAAAACTTCTTGGTCGACATCCGCATGAAAACCGAAGTCAGTGTTTGGGAACTATGTGGTGTGGCTCGAAATCGACTGCAATGGCAAAGACGCATCCAAAACTTGTATTCATCTTCACCATTCTACTGCATTTTGTTATTTATTGTACCCTTTGTTTTCCTTTCAAGGTTTTCCAAGACCTTTGATTACACTTTCTATTTGCACATTTGTTTTTTCCCTTGTATCCATGTATGTACTGACTTTTGAAGTGGTAAACCAAGCCGTTACGCAATGCCGATGCCAGTCGACTGACTGGTTTTCGTTTAAAACAGCGGAGAAGTATCGGTAGCTATCACAGAATGGTTGTAACTTATAGTTTTCTTAACGGCCTCTATGTAGTTACCACGTTGATTTAATTTCATGTTTTCCATTAACTCTTTCAACCTTCACTGATGCGGGTTATCTGATAGAGGAGTGCTACAGATAACAAATTCACAATTGTTTCTGCACTCATTACTTTAAGGGGATTAAACCACTTGTATTGGCATCCTAGGAATTTTCATATCGTGAAATAAAGTGTTGGTTTTAAGAGACAAACATTTGAGACAAGTAATTTTGATGCTTTTTGTCACATTCTGCGTACAAATCATTCATTACAACCCAGAGTCTTCAACTATATATTGTAATAGAGAATAAATGTGCTTACTGATCTGCATTCTCAGCTGGCTGTTAAAATTTAAACGCGGGACTTCTGGACATTGTTCGATGGTAGTAGCATTTGTTTTGGTGGCTGTCATCGATATTTCCTAGCCATGCATTCGTTTAATTTCATGTTTTGGTTTTTTATAGGATATCAGAAATATAATAAGCATGTTGTGAATTCCTCAGGATACAATTATTATAATATTACTGGAAATTGAAATATCACATAGGACTTAGTCTGCTAACTAAACTCGCAAGCTACATGTGTTGTTTTAAGCTGAATCATACCCTACCCATATGTTCATACTTTGGCAGATGAAACTAAGCTCCTACTTGTTTAAAGTTAGTTGACTAAACCGGTGTATTATAATTCTTTGGGGGATAGGCTCAAAGTGTGATGGAGTTGTGACGTATTGAGAGGTGATATTCAGGAGGTTTAACTGCTAGTAAAACTTTAATATCATTTGTTTATTTTCTGAAACCATTGCAGGAAAAGCAATGGCTACTTACACGTTTTCTCGCAATACAATTCCAATAAGCTGGTGATTTGCATGAGAGAATATTGTGTTGGTGTCTAGTTCAGTGAATAATAGATTACATCTACCAAACAGATATTTGCTTACGATAGTGATGCTTATTGATTGGCTACGCACAGATGCATTGTCTCCAAAACTTAATTCAATGAATGCCAAATAAAAAGGTGCTAGTGACTTATCTGAGTATACTTAAATATTTAATGTAGTAAGTTCGCACCTATGTACAAAATAAATTGGTCAACTAGGGGTAGTATGAAGGTCGTTAAGCAGGTAAGGATTGTATTCCTGTCGGTTATGACAGTATCATTTGGGGCTGTATAAAATAGTCATTTAATGCGTAAGTATTACAATAAACTTCCATTTTGCTGTGCGTATCCTAACGTCGATCCTTCAAAAGATAGTCATTTATTGTCACTTAAAGACTAGTTAGGTTGTCAAATCTAATTACCTGGAGATATTACGCGTCTGTGAAACAACGCCATTTTAAAAGTTAGTGCCTAGCAGTAAGTGGTCTATTAACTTGACCTGTTCTACAAGTGGTTCATTTTGAAAATCCTGAAAGAACAGTGGCGGCATTTTTCACGTTTGCCCGGAAACTGAAGTTTTGCACAAATCATATTGGACCTATATGGAGTTTGGTTATCACTGCATAAAATTACCAGGAAAAAGCAAATCAGCTTAAAACCTAATTATGTATCCGTCATAACATCTTACTTTTTCGGAGAGAGGAAATAGCCTATGAATGTGGATATTATTCATATGAAACTAACTGTAACATCCTCTGTACCGTTACTGAGCATTCTAATGATAAATTGTCTAGGCATTTTATGTGTTTTCCACTACATTTGTTTAAATTGATAGATTTTGCATGAAAGCTTATTGTAGACAAAGTTTCCAAACCATTGAATTCGTTAAAGTGGTTTACTTCAATCAGTGTTTACGCATTAGTTTTGTATTTTTATATATGCTAACTTCAGCTTCTCATCCAGGTAAACCTTTTAGTCACTATGGGTATGCTTGAATTGGTAATAATTATCGTTTTATGCATTGTTTTAACGTTGAGTGAATGTGTAATCCATTATTTATCAAATTTGAATTTTTCTTATTCTAACCCTGTTTGATGGCCACTACTGCAACAACAACAACAACAACTTACAATCTAATCATATCATATGCATTACTATTTTAACCCATTTCGTTTCTGATCATTTGGGTGATTTCATCATTATGTCAATCTGCTCACTAATACATGTGTATGGCTCCAATTTTATTACGTATAATACCCATAATAAAATAAAAATAAAATTCGCTATCGATTAGCACCCGTTTACAACGAGGTGAAATTAGAAGCAGTTGGCCAAAGCATAGGTAAGTTCTTTTGGGTTTTTATCTTTTGTTAGCTTGATTAACATTTGTTACTTGATAAGCAAGCGAACTGATCTTTTTAATGCCATGACAAAGAAGCCTCTTTCAAACCCATTTCTGATTGAAGTGGAGGATTCTGCATTTCATTCACTACTTTTCATCTTGACTCTCTCAGCAAGTGTTCAATATTCTACTGAACACAGGATTGTAAACCCACTAAAACAACAGGTTTCAATTATATCTTAGTTGAATAGGTGATTGGTGAAAAGTTCCGTTGAAATGTGCATTATTTTTCTTTCCTAATTTTTTCCGTCAGCTATGTATTGTTATAGTTGACTGTTGCTGGACATGGAGGTAGTAGTGTCAGTAGGGACCAAGACTTGTGACACCTGACTCTCCCGAACTCAATCACCCATGAGGATGCTGTTTTGCGGTTCTGGGGCGCCTCAAGCCAGGACGAAAAGGCTATCCAGTGCTACCAAATTTTCTGATAACTCTGCGACTGATATCCATCTACGATAAAAACTACTACTTTGGAATCCATCACTCACTACTAGCTGATCAGATTAGTGATGATGTATTTTGAAATTTGGCGGCAGAGCTGTTGGTAATGCAGGCGATAATGATATTCTTGACATTGGCTTTTTTTCTTCTTACTTGTGTCTAATTAAGACTTTAGTTTTCGGGGGTAATAGACTGAAAGTTTAGTTATGTTTTTCGTGGAAAACCTTTGTAATAGACTGTTGTGCATGGAGATCGTTGGATAGAGTTTTCTAGTCCTTTGTTTTTCTGCTACTGCGTTACTTTAGGTTCATTGCGTAGGATATGTCGGTTTACACGTAATAGAATACTGAAATTTCCACCCTGTTCCCTTTGTTAGGTACAGCTTGGGCTATTTGTAAGTATATGCAGTTACAAAAGGACCATTTTCTACATTTTCCTCTACCCCTATTTCATCTTGCTTGTTCCGAATTTTCATCCTCTTCACACTCCAGTTCAATATCTATTGGATTTATGGTTACTATTTTGATATTTTGCATGCTTATTTATGAGTCAATCACTATGCACTTACTTCCACAGCTTGGTTTACCTTTGCTGATAATCATCACACAGAGCGTACAATTTAAATTTGTGGATCTTAAAAAAAGTATTTTATCTTATATATGGTGCTTATCTTATTGTACTTGTCATTAAATTGTTTTGCTTGTTAAAAAAGCACATGATTGCTCATTATCTGTATGCTTAAGAAATGAATGTCACTAATGATTGATTCAAGATAGTTGGTGGTCAGTTAAGTGGAAAGGGATAGGTAGGCACTGTCAGGTTTCTTTAAAATGAAGAGGATCGTGTATATCTTAGTGATCTGCCAAAATTTGTTATTGCTTAAATATAGTGGATTATGATTTTGAAAATCTTGCGATTGTGTTCTTCCTTCAACAACCACTTAGCTTTTCAAACTGTATTGAAGTGATCTTTAAGGGAAAGTACAATGGTCCTATCAGAGTGAGATAGTATTTTTAAAATAATTCTTTTGCAACTTAACCATCCCTTCTCAATCTTCATTTGAAGTTTATTTTAGGTATGCACTAACAAAAGTAAATAGATGGGCAAACAAGATCAGCATAGGGCCACGCATTACTGCGCAGTGGCCCAAGTTGCCACACCCCATATCAGCATATCAACCTAGAATGCACTTATGTGAAAGATAAGCTAATAGAGATGAGAGCAATCAAAACTGGTAGAAAATTACTGATGCGGTGACACCACGATACAAACTATGGTTCGAAGGCAACGATAATCGAACACCTGAAGCCTTCTCAAATCATGTACTTCTAATGACCATGTTTCACATTCATATGGTAGAACAGGGCGAACTGTAGTGCAGTACACTCGACCCTTAACAGATAATCGGATATCGTGATGACACCATAAACGTTTTAAGTTGGCGAAGGCCAATTGAAGCTTTTACATCCGTGTATAGATTTCGTTAGTCACTGATCCACCAGGGCTGGTCTGACGTCCCAGGTAAGTGAAGTGGACAACGCGCTCAATCATTTCATTCCCTATTATTAGACAGGGCACCACTGAAAACCAGTCCTCGAGCAACAACTTGCATTTGGGTAGTGACAAACACATCCCAAACATTCACAAATCGGGCGCTCCAAGGTGCCCAGTAAATTCTGCATCTTGTCAGCATCTTCGCCCAACAACCACTATGTCATCTACATGTTCTACACGTACTAAAGATTCATTTGTGATTAGATCAATCAATTCTTGTGATGAGTTGTACAACAAAGTTGAATAAGAATGGAGAGAGTGGACATGGTTGACGGGCACCACTCGACGTACACAACCCACCATAGGCTCTAACTAACACGCTCACAGGTGTTCGAGTACATAGCCATCAACAGAGTGACTTACTTACTCGATACCCCGTTCACTGAGAGACATGACCATAAGTCTTCTCGATGGACAGAGTGAAATGCCATCTTCAGGTCGAGAAGTGCAGCGAGAGTGTGCCAGTGTTCCAGAACCTGGCAGAGTTTGATTATCTTGTTCATACACCAACGGCCAGGTCCAACGCTTGCCTGGTTCCCTCGGGTTCGCTGTTCCCGAGCTCCACTCAGACGTCTGATAATTATAAAACTTGGAGTCCTAGATGTGTTTGTCAAGCTGATTCCTCTGTGGTTATCACAAGAGGATTTCTCCTTACTTCTTGAAGATTGAAACAATCAGTGAATGTGACCAGTGGGAAGGGATCATAGATGACTCCTATGCACTATCTAACACCGGTTAACCTGACCAATAATCCTTTACCATCTTCCTTAAATGTCTCCGGTACTTGTCCGTCTGACCCTGCTGCTGTTCCTGGTTTCAGGTTAACTACAGTTTTCTCGACTTCTGTAAATATTGGTGGTCCTATCTCGATTTTTCAGTCAAACTCCGAGTGGATAGTGAACAACGGTATAGTAGGTATAGTAGGTCAGTTGCAGTGTTCTTTGAAGTGTTCCACTCATGGTTCCAGTTGTCTTCTGTGCTGGTCAATCACAGACCCGCTCTTCTCACATATAGTCTCACTGACCACTGACATTTTCGCCCTAGTCTCCTTAGTGAGGCGAAATAACTATCTACTGTTACCTATCACTGCTTCCTTTCTCATCTTCTTAGCCTTCACCACCCGGCCTTGTTCATAGTCACTGTGTAGACTTCTCGTCGGTCTACATTTGAGTTATTTCTGCTCCTCATTTTGCTCGAAACCTGCCTGAGTGCACTGGTGTGCATCGATTATTTTAGAAGAAGCTGCTGAGATCCATTGGCCTTTTGAAACTACTATATCTCTGAGTCGGGCACGACCTTCAACGATGTTTTTATGCCAGACTGGAGATGTCACCAGGCAGCTTCAGGATGAGTGTGATGTTGTTGTGTTCCGTTAAATGTCTAGTCGGTATCTCTCTGAAAACATTCTTAGGATTCTCATTTTCGAGCTGCACTCTCAATGGTCTTATGTTCATTTACTCACAGAAATACCCGTGCTCAAATAAACGCATGGTCCCTGTCCAAGCGCTTGCTCCCAGGTAGCGAAAGTCTCTCTCTGATTCTCTCCAGCTGTAATTGACAGCAACACGGTTTATTTGTGTCCACCAGAATTGTGAAAGGCGATCGCTTTTATATGTTTGTTCGGATGGGATTCAGAAAGTGACACGTAAGCGGATTTCCGTCTGACTTAGCTCATTCAGTTACACCTTAAAATCACTGACTACAACCTCGTCTGAATGTAGTAGAGTAGGTAGTAGTTATCAGTAGAATCCATCTTTTACTTCATCTGACCTACAATCAGTAGATGCGTAAGGAGAAATTACAGGGACGATGGTGAGTTTTATTATTTTGTTTTGTCCACACCACACCGATTCAGTTGAACAGTAAACTTTCTGTCTTTATCACTTAATGCCATTCCTCCATCAGCCATCCAAATCAACATAGGATCAGACATTACTGCGTAACGGTCCGAGTTGCCACAGTTCATATCAGTACAACAAGTAAAAAGGCAGTGAAGTGGAAGATGAAGAAAAGAAAATTCAGTCAAGAGGAATATAAAGTACTAAAAGGGAGAAATGAAGAATGAGAGAATGGTAAGATTCGGTATATCGTCGTTAAGATGAGGATAATGTATGTATACATCTGCGCCACTGACATCGGTTCTGAACCATGTCACCTAGAGTCTCCAACCACTGGTTCCTCTTGTCCCGTGGACCCCAACTACCTAGTCTGCATCACCCCACAAGGCTCAAAGCAACACTTAATACATTGGCCGCCTAAGGCCTTTCTCCAGTCTGAACCTATTTCTGCCAACATTGTGTGACGAGGCAATCGGTGACTAGGCATACGTAATACGTGTCCCAACCATCTCAGTCGATGAAGGTTCATAACCTCATCAACAGATTCAACTCTACTCCCTAAAGCTCTACACCTGACGTCTGCGTTACTCACATGGTGACACCACGGAATACGTCCTATACTACGAAGGCAACGGTGGTCAAACCCTTAAAGCCTCCTCATGTCTTCCACCTTCAATGGTCATGTCTCACAGCCATACATACGGTAGGACAGAGCGGACTGCTGTGGAGGTTACAGTACATGGGACCCTTAATAGACAATCGGATATCACGCATCCCAAACATCCTCAAATTGCCACTTAAAATGTTCAGAAGACTCTGCATTTTGTTAGCGTCTTCACCTAACAGGACTGTGTCATCTGCATATTCTAGGTCTAACGAAAATTCTGCTGCGATTAGGTCAACCTCTGTGTAATCAGGTGACGAAGGGGAGACCTCCATATGAATATGTATGATAAACTGAATGGGAATGGAGATCGTGGGCACCCTTGAGGGACACCAGTCGAGGAGCCCAGGTCTCCGGACATCTCGCCATGGGCTCTAACACGCCCACATGTGTTCGGGTAGAGAGCCTTCAATAAGGTGATATACTTATTCGGCACGCCTTTCAGTGAGAGACATTGCCATAAGACCTCTCGATCACCGGAGTCGAATGCCGCCTTCCAAAGCCTGGCGCAGTGTGAATATTCGGTCGATACATCCACGGCCGGGTCTAAATCCTACCTGGTTTTCTCGGGCTTGCTGTTCCGAGCTCCACTCAGGCGTCGAAGAATTATAGAACCTAGAATCTGAGACACTATGTTCATCAGGCTGATTCCTCTGTGGACTTCTCGCGTTTCTTGAAGACTGGAATAATCAGTGATTTGAACCATTCCTACACCTGGGAGGCTGTGAGAACTAATCGCATCTCCAGAAAGTCGAAAAGTGAATTTTTCGGATTCGCCGTATTGACTGGGTGAAGTTAGTGGATAACTTTACCCAGGTCCTGTATGGGTGTCTCACAAAAAAACGCTCTTCCCCTGGCCAGAGATGCCAGAATTTGTCCCGCGAAGCTTGGTGGCAATCTTGTTGGAGAAAGCAAACATTGAAAGCTCTAATGTGTAGCTCAAAGTGCAGTTTGAAGAGACAAGCAATACTCTTTCGTACAATCGAAATGCTATGAAGATCTGCAGAGCTAGGGAAAATTAAAGATGAAGTAAGATTGTCGACTGAGGAACGTGAAAGGGTATTATAAGTGAAGGATATGGAAGGTAGGCAGTCATCCGAGGGATCGTGGATGCTAGCAGAATTGTGAGGGTGGATGACACTTCTCGGCTGCGCACAGTTTAGGGGCTAGTTTTTGTTGAGACATCTGGAAAAGAAGGGATGGTGCGTGACTGCGAGCCCAAGGAATATCTGCTTGAGGCCAGTTACACATGACCATTTTAGAAATTTGATGGTTTACTTTATTTGTCGCCAGCACTGGCATTTTGCAAAGTAGAAAACTGTATTAGTTTTGCAATTA